GGCGACTGATCTGCCTCACCCGGGAAGAGCGCAGTGATGGTGCCAACTTGGGCCAGTGAAGCAAAGTCCTTCACAGCTAGACTGAAGAACAAAAGGACAGACATTTGTCTATTCCCCTTCCCCCAATTCCCAGCGCTGTTCCCATCCCCCAATTCCCCAATAAAAATCTTTAAAAAAAAAAGAACTGGGAATTTAACTTCAAACACTCAACCAGTTGTTCAACTTTTTCTGAAATAATAAATTTCTGAATATGGTATTTCATATTTCATATTTCATTTGTAATCATAACATGTGGAATAGTGTAGTTAGGTAACCTTATAGTAGTTAAATTTTAAATTGCACAGAAAATAGTTCAAATAGTACCCTGCACACAATAGGTGTTCGGGTAACACTTTACTGATAACATGAAAATTGCATTGCTGTATTTTTTATTTGTTTGTTTGTTTTCTCTTTTATCCAAGGATCCTTATGTCCTAGAAACAAATTCTCCTGAATGGACATTAAAAAAAAAAAGTTTCGTTTTAAATAAATCTGGGAAATGTTCCAATCTATATTCCACCTTTTGGGAAGTCAGAACTCACGTTAGCATAGTAAAGGTGTTGACAGTCTTTCATTGAAGAATCATGGGTACCTTTGTTTAACTATTTTCAGTAATTATTTGATCTTGTAACCTCCCCCAGCCCCTCTGCTAACAACCCTGTGGACTAGTTTAAAAGAACACACCTGGAGGAACTCTGCTCTAAACCAACATTAGCTTGCAGAGTTAAGCAAAGTAGACAAGAAACTGAAATAACACGTTTACAATGGAGTCATTAACACAGAGAAAGTCAGCTTTTTTTGAAGATCTACATAATAAGTCAAAAGTATAGTCAGGAAATGTTTCAAAATACTATTCTAAAAAACAAAGCATTCTCTTTAAACAACCTACAAATCTTCTACCTTTAAATATATCACTCCTTTCACCATTTTTTCAGACTTAAAATTTACTATTTACTCTCCAACTTTTAAATCAGAAATATTTTAGAATATATGGCATTATCAACATCATTGGTTCTTTTGTGAAGCTTTTCCAACATATAGCAAACATTCTTGCACACTGGTTATGATACTCACCTAAGTTATAAATATGAAGGAATGGTCTCAAATAGTGAGGTTTCCTGTCATTAACACTGGTAGTAGTTGATGCAGTTATATTCCAACTTTACTGATATACGCACACACTTGAATTAAGCAACTTTGGGTGACAGCATTTGATGAATGAGGCAATGCAAATAGAGCTAGTTCAATAGGTTAGAATGAGTTGGGAACATGTCTTATTCCTGCAGCCAAATCCTAAACATTATTTTAGCTGTAGTACTTTCAATGCATTATTTAATGTAGTTAATCATTAATCTTATAATCTTTATGGCAGGACTGTAGTTAGTGTTAATTGCTCATATACAGCATACAAGGGCACAGCTTATTTAATTGCCTTTCTATTTCCTACAGAAAGTTGAAAACTTTTTAAGTAATTTTGTTCTGTTTATAAAAATGATGTGTATGCACTTAGAAAATCTATAAATGACAGGAAAGCATATATGCTATAGATCTGGACATTTTTTTTCAATGTAGAAAAAAATGCATATTTACTTTTTTAATAAAAAATGGAATCATACAGCAAATATTGTTTTGTAAGCTGCTTTTTTAATTTTCTGATTAACAATGCATCATGAACATTTGACATGTCTGAAGCATTTTACAGGAAGCATTATAAATAGCATTGAATCATAGAAATATACCATAACTATTCTTTTATTGATTAACACTTTGTCTGTTTCCAGTTTTTCCTTTTCTTTTCTTCTAATATCACCAATGTTGCAACTGACAGGTGTGTGTGTGTGTGTGTGTGTATTGTGATTCTTGGTAAATGTTTGTAAGCTCATTGGTAGCATAAATTCCTAGCAGTGGAATTGGTAGATCAAAGGATACATACGTCTTCTATTTTTATAGATATTACCTAATTGACTTCCAATGGTTTGTACTGATTTATTATTTTTTTAACAACCCAGATTCATGCTTTTTTCTCCATTGCCTGAGCAGCAGTGGGTGTCATCATCTTTAAAATGTTTGTCTTTCTAAAGAGTGAACAATATCTCATACTTTCAAATTTTATTTCTTTATTTAGTGAGATTGAGCATGTTTTTTAAAAACATATTTGCTGTCAATTTCTGTAAATTGTTGATTTATATGAACTCTTTGTAAATTAAGAAATGAAACCCTTGTCTGTGATATATATTGAAAACATTTCCCCAATACCATTTATCTTTATACTTTGTTAATGGCATTTTTTTTGCTATACATAATTTTTTAAATATTATATGCTAAAATTTAATCAGTGTTTTCTTTTAAAACTTCTAGGTTTTGTGTCTTCAAAAGAACTGCCCTTCTCCAAGATTATAAGTTTATTATGCCATTTTCTAAAACTTTTATTGTTTACTATTTAATACCTAAATGTTTGATTTACTATTACCTTTAGCACAAAGAATAAGTTAGTGATATTTTTCCCCCAAGGCCTTATCCTAATCACATATGTAATCCAATTTAGACAAAGTAAAGTTTCATGTGTTGAGACTATAGCATGCAGGGGTCTGTGAGTGCAACAGTAAGAAGTTTGAATTTTATCCTATAGCCAACAGAAATCTTTTCAAAGTTTTTTAAGCACATGAAATATAATTTAAAAATGTGTGTTATGAATGTAATTTTATGGCTGTGTGAAGGACCATCTGAAGGAAGGAAAGACAAAAAAGACAGGTAAGAAGCCCAGTTAGGAGGCCAACTAAAATAGCCCGGGCAAGAAAGAGCTAGGTCAATGTTAGACTGTTAAGGAAGGGATGAATGTGTTGAGTGCTACAGGCATTTCATATGTCCTTGAATATTAGAGTGAGAAAGGGCCACAGAGATCTCTGTTCCAGCTCACTAAGTCACGCAGCCCTTAGCAGCTGAGTGAAAATTAAACCCAGTTTCACTTCAGTTCAGAGTTGTGTCTGCCACAGAGCCTCCACAGCTCTTTTTGGACGTGGGTATATCAGCTCTGGATTGGAGGAGTGGGGAGGTGAAGGGAAATGAAAGTGTTGTCAGAGGTTCAGGGTAGGAAAATCAGGTGGGAGTTCATTGACAGGGTCAGATAGTGGGTGTGATGTGGAGCAGGTGGAGTTTGAGTAACTTGGGGAATGATTATATGGAAATTTCAGGAGGGAGCTGGAACTGGGTTGGGGGGTGGGCAGAATTAGCCATGTGGATTTGCTCGTCATTCATGAAGGTATAAGTGTTGTTTGTGTGGGAGTGAATGAGATTGTCTTAGCTAAGTGTGGAGCAGAAAGAGAAAGCTGTGTCTAGATGGAATTGTACATTTAAGGGGTAAGAGAAGAAAAGGAGTTAGCAAAGAAGACCAGAAACAGAAGCAGAAAAAAAGAAGTCATATTATGAAGGCTAAAGGAGAAGATCATCTCAAAAAGGAACATTTGTAAAACCCAATTAAAAAGTGGGCAGAGGGCATAAGGAGACATTTCTCCAAAGAGGATATACAGATGGCCAATAGACATGAAAAGATGCTCAATATCACTAATCATCAGAAAAATGCAAATAAAAACCCCAGTGAGATATTACATCATGCCTGTTAGAATGGCCATCATCAATAAATCAACAAACAAGTGTTGGCAAGGATGTGGAGAAAAGGGAACCCTTGTGCACTGTTGGTGGGATTATAAATGGGTGCAGCCACTATACAAAACAGTATGGAGTTTCCCTAAAAAATTAAAAATAGAACTACTCTATAATTTGTGAAAATTATATGAGAAGGTATATTTTAAACACTTATCACAGTAGTTAGCACATAGTAGGAACTTAATACATGTTTTTATTCGTGTTTTTTTTTTAAGATTTTTATTGGGTAATTGGGGTGATGGGAACAGTGATGGGGAATTGGGGGAAGGGGAACAGACAAGTTGCTGTCGTTTTGTTCTTCAATCTAGTTGTGGAGGACGCAGTGTCACTGGCCCTCATATGTGGGATCTGAACCGGGGCCCTCTGGCATCCCAAGCGAGTTCTTAACCATCGCGCCACTCGGCCGGCCCCTTATTCGTGTTTTTTATTGTGATGTAGGACTCATGGAGATGTTTTAATGTGGAGAGAAAGGAACCAATGAAAAGGAGAAAACTAGTATAATAAACTCCCAGAGGAGGCAGAGAAGAGAGACGGGAAAGAACTTTAGTGGAAGGGTCAACTTTGCAATGGAGGAGGCATACTTTTTCTGTAGGAGAGGAGGAAAAGTGAGAGAATGAGAGCGATGTTAGGAACATGAACTTGAGGGTCTTGTAAATGTGTCCGAATCTTCTTCATAAAGCAGATGGTGAGAAGAGTTATAGAGATTAAGAGAAATACACATGAGTTTGAATATTTGAGGATAAATTGGAAAAGTCTGGAACAGCTCCTTGGAGAGTGTACAAAAGAATTAATGAAAGAGTAGGGAGCTATTGTACATGGATATTGAGTTTCAGCTTTGTTAGATGAAAAAAGTTTTGAAGTTGGACTATGGTGATTGTTGCTCAGCAATGTGAATATACTTCATGCCACTGCACTATACACTTAAAAATAGTTAAAATGATTAATTTTATTGTGTATATTTTACCACAATTTTGAAAACTATTAAAAAAATTTTTTTTAAAATGAGAGTGGGAGAAGTAGAAAGACTGGGGTGGGTGGGGTGGAAAATTCCAGTTTTTCCTACCTGGAGATAGCGATGTTCTAATGATAATAATGGTAGCCAGGATGAGGTTTCATGGATAACTGTGGAAGAGTATTAAAAAATCATCAAAACAGACACTCAAGTCATCAAGGGTGATGACAGCAGAAGCAACATGGAACAGGAAAGAACATCAGCGTTCCCGGTGATCAGAATAGAATGAAATTAACGTAAGTAGTTGGGCCCAGGGCAGGGCTAGTCAGTGGAAAATGAAAAATGTGTCATTTTCTCCATTGGCCCTGGGAGATGGACACACAGCAAGGAAGTGGGTTTTGAGAATAGTGGTGTCACCAGAGGAAAGTCACATTTTAGATAAGAAAAGGAAATAGAAAAAGCTTTTTAAGAAAAAAGGAGGAAGAGGATAAGGAGTGTGCATGTGTGTGGGAGAGGAACATGCCGGAGGAAATTACATACATTTAAATTATTTTTAAAAACCTGAAAGAAGATTTTAATTTATCAGAAAATACTATCTTAAATAGAAATTCATTAATTTGTAATTCACCTCTGAGCCACAACAAAAATGTATGGCATATGGCATATAGTGCTTTCCAAAGTTGCAATATATGTGGTTGCCTCTTTGGCTGGAGAAGGCTTCCAGAAACTTACATTCAACAAATGTTGAATGCTCATTATATGCCAGGGACTATTCCATCAGCATTGACCAGTGGGACACTGCATGAAATTTTTCATTTCACTTTGTCATATTATCTACATTTAACCAACTAGAAAATCATTTATGGAATCACAAATCTTCTCATATACAAGACAATGCCCTTTGATTAGCATTTGCCCTCTTAAAATACTGATACGCATAAGAATGTTAAGTTGGCTGTTGGTCTTTCTTTCCTTATTGTAAATTTTACTTTAAAAACAAATTCATTTAATCAGATTGATTTCCTATGAAGAGTATTGTTAAAATATAGAGTTTATAAGAAAGTTTTATTAAAAATACATGTTGGGCTGGCTGAGTGGCGCGTTGGTTAAGAGCTGGCTTGGGGTGCCAGCTCTGAGCAGCAGGGCCCCGGTTTGGATCCCACATTAGGGCCAGTGACGCTGCACCCTCTACAGCTAAGATGGTGAACAACAGCTTGACCTGGAGCTGGGCTGCCGTGAGTCACTGGTGACAGTGTAGGCTGCAAAGGGGCTACAGTGGGCTGCTATAAAGCTACCGTGAATGGCTGACAGCCGGCTTGAGCAGCTGGCAGCCGGTGTGAGCTGCCAAGAACCGCCGTGAACGGCCGTCCAGAGACTGGCGACTGATCTGCCTCACCCGGAAAGAGTGCAATGATAATACCAATATGGGCCAGTGAAGCGACGTCCTCCACAACTAGGCTGAAGAACAAAAAGGACAACATGTCTGTTCCCCTTTCCCGATTCCCCAATGCTGTTCCCCTCCCCCAATTCCCCAATAAAATCTTTTTAAAAAATTAAAAAATAAAAATATATGTTTATTATGGGAAATTTGGATGGTACAGAAAATTGAAAGTTCAACTTTTGATGCCC